TAAAAACAAACAAACAAAAACATGAAAAAGGGTTAGGGATGTGGTCAGTAGTTAAAGGCCAAATGGGTTCAATTCCTGGTACCAAAAAAAAAAAAAAAAAAAAAAAGACAAGGCTCTAGGGAATTAAATTATGAGAACTGGTATATTGTAAAAGGGGGAAAAAAAACTCTTTAGTATTTCATCTTGTAAGCAATTGTTTATCATGTAAGTCTAGGTACAAAGTTTTAGATTATTCTTCAATTATGAGCCTGCTTCTTTAAATGTTCCTTCCTTTTGGCAACTACTATACATTTTTTAATGCTTTATTCACACTGATTGTTTACTTATGACAGTACTTGGATTGAATCTGGAAACTGTTAAAGCAAATATGTCGTTTTCTTAGTCAGAAGGAGAATAAATATCTGGAAACTTCCCTTTAATGCTGAAGGCAAAATATTTCAGTTATTAAACACAATAAAGTGCTCAAACTGGTTCAGCAGAACACTGTGAATGTTGTCTCAGAAAAAATAAGAGCTGACTAAAATACTTATTTTCCCTTCTAGAAAGTTCCCAGGGTAGAATATTCATTCCTGCTGACCTAATTTTTTTTTGAGGGGAATATATTAATTTTGAAAAGTGGGTGAATAAGTAAATAGATGTAGATTTTATTAAATTAAGTATACATATGCCACAAAAATTCTCTTTGTTAGAGAAACAAAAAGTGGAAACATTTTAGAAGGTAAAGTTGAACCATGAGATAATAAACACAAAAATCAAAGAACTCTCCTGAAGTTATAAATTACTTATTTCAGAAAAATATTTTGTGTGTGTAGTTGTTGAAGCCATGTTGCCTAGAGCTCAAATTCTGAATTTTGTCAACTATAAGACCTGGACAAATTATTTCAATTTCCTTCCCTTCTATTTCCTTATAAATTACAATTTCAACAGGGGGTACTTTATGAGGCAGTCGAGAAGATTAAAACATTGCCTTTTGTATCAAAGTGTTATGAATGATCACACTCTAACATTTACTCAGCATCTTATAAATACATAAAATATTTCAGTTATTAGGGACATCGAAGACAAAAGCAAAGTTCTGCTAAAGTTTGTTCCCTAGACGAAAGTTTTAAAAGCTTACTAAATAATCTCTTCATCTTTTGTACTCTTTAAATTTTTCTACAATAAGCAGGTATACATCTATAATTAGAAAAATGAAAATATTTTAACTTAAAAAGAATAGCTATTATAAATGGGCAAATAAACTAAAGATACACTTCTCAAAAGAAGAAATACAAATAGTCAACAATAGTTTTAAAAAGTTCAACATTGTTAGCAATTAGGCAAATGCAAATCAAAACCACACTGAGATTTCATCACACAGCAATCAGAATGGCAGTCATCAAGGATACAAACAATAATAAATGCTGAAAAAAATGTGGAGGAAATAGAAGACTTTTACACTGTTTGTAGGATTGTAAATTAGTACAACCATTATGGAAATCAGTATGGAGATTCCTCAAAACACTAAGAGTGAAACCACCAACTGATTCAACTACATCACACCTCAGTATTTATCCTAAAGAATTAAAGTTAAAAAAAATTAAATTAAATAAATTAATCAGTACTTGAATTAAGTTTGTTGATATACAGAATTTACAATTTTGAAGCTTTGATTGCACCCTGAAAATCATTCTAAATTGATAAAATTAAACCAGTATTTTTTGATCCAAGCCAATATATATGTGTATTGGTGATGAATAAAATTGTTAAACACTTGACAAAAAAAAAAAAAAAAAAGAATTAAAGTCAGACTAGCCACCATGGCCCAGCAGCTCAGGAGGCTGAGGCAGGAGGATTATGAGTTCAAAGCCAGCCTCAGCAATTTAGCAAGGCCCTAAGCAAATCAGTAAGACCCTATCTGGAAATAAAATATAAAAAATGGTTGAGGATGTTGTTCAGTGGTTAAGCACCCCTTGATTCAATCTCTAGTACCAAAAAATAAAAATAAAAAATAATTAAAGTCATCATATTATACAATATGTGTGGACTCCTGTTTAGAGTAACACAATTCGAAATAGTTAAACTATGGAACCAACTTAGGTGTCATCAGTGGATGAATGGATAAAGAAAAAATGGTATACATGTTCAGTGGAATTTAATCAGCCATAAAGAAGAATGAAATTATATAATTTTCAGGAAAATGGATAGAACTTGAAATTATTCTTTTAAGCAAAATAAGCCAAACTCAGAAAGTCAAGGATCATATACTTAAGTTAGAAAACAAAATAAAAAAGAAAATTGAGCCGGGGGTGGACCATCTCATGACATGACTGAGGGAGATTAGTAGAGGAAAGGGACTTGTGAGAGAAAAGAGAGGAAGGAAAGGGGAAGTACTCAGAAATAATATTGGCCAAGTTGTATTGTTATATTGTGTGTGTGTGTGTGTGTGTGTGTGTGTGTGTGAATGAACTGGTAACAATGAATCCACCATTACTTACAACTATAGTGCACCAATTAAAATACCAAAAAAAAAAAAAAAAGAAAGAAAGAAAAAGAAAACAAAGAATGGCTACTTTATTTTGAACTACTGATTATTTCAAGAAACAGAATATTTCCAACTAAGAATCCCAGAAAAATAAGAACAACAATAGTAGGATTGGCATAAATACTCAATCATTGATGAATTCATCATATTTTATAAATTTTAGCTTATCTTTCACTTCCTACACCTTTAATATATATATATATATATATATAATCTACAAATTTGTTTTATTTTATACTAGACAGTACTGAAAATCATTGGGAAAAATCTAAAGAAAGAAATCTAGTTACTCATAATTCTTTTTGTAGTAATTAAGAGGCGGCAATTTTACTTTTACTCACATTTTGCAGTTGAAATTACTAAAACACAGGATTAGAAATTAACCCACCAATTAAACTAGACAAGACTCATCCTATTTCCTCTTAAAAAATAAAACTAATAGAAAATCCTTAGAGAAGTGGCGTGATATGAAACAAATCAATTCCTTTCATTTATTTATAATTATCTATAGCATTTAATATGTACTGGCATTTTACATATGATAACATTCATGGTAACAACCTTGCCAGGTAGATAGTACCATGTATGTCCGTTTACAGACAAGAATCTTTACATCATCAAGTAGACGGTCATGCCCCAGTAACTGGCAGAGTTGACTCCTCTCAGGACGCTCTGGTGAAGGGTCCTGCTCTGTGCCTTTGTAGCAGCTCTGCAGCATCCCCTCCCTCCTCTTGCAGCTCTTCCTCACACCTCTGGAAAATCTATGTCTGGAACCACCCCTAAACTCTCTAAATCCAACCTATAATGTGATGCAGAGAATTAAAATTGAGAGTGAAAAAGGAATTGCTGAATGAAAGTCTTGTGTTAACAGTTTTAAAAGGTTTATTAGAGATCAGTAAAAGCAAATAATGACGATGATTGTTTTTCTAGAAGGGAAATCAAATTACTGGAGACAGGAAAGACCATATAAGGTGGAAAAGAAATAAATTTTGTTTTTATAAAGCAAAGTAGGACAAGATTTATGATCACCATGTGTATATTTCACAAGAACACATCCTTTTGCCACTTAAGATGATCAGTGGGTGCTATTCCCCCCGGGGCATAACTGATATGAAAAAAAATCAATTTCTTTCATTTATTTATAATTATCGATAGCATTTAATATGCTATACAAACCTAGGAACTGTGCACTCTGCAAATTCCAATGTAACACTCCCTCCCAAGAACAGCTCCCTGACCACCAATAGGTCATTATTTTATGAACCCATCAACTCTTTCATACATCAAACTGTGGTACTTGTCCACTTATTCCAGCTTTGGAAATTCCAGAATTTCACAGACAAAGAAAGTTATGTAGGATTTCGACACCGTTTTCTAAATTAAACGTCGAATTAAACTCTTGACACGGTCCTTTCCCTGAGCTGTGAAGAAAGGTATGACACAAAGTGTGATTTATTTGTGCTTGTTAAATACCAGGAACCCAACCCATACTCTCATGTGTAATAGGAGAGGGATATATTTCAAAAGAGAATATGATGCAGACCCAAGGAAATTCTTCATCCAGAAGATATTTATGAGTATAGAACAAATAGAAAAGCGGGTATTCCACTTCCCATCTTCCTTCCTCCAATCCTGATGACTAAGGTTCCTCACACTGACCAGTGTCAGCTGATGACGCCGCCTCCTAAGGGAGTCTGGGGGCCCACAGTCCCGCTGGCAGGCGGCCACTCCCTCTCCTTTGGGGATCTCCGGCAGAAAGAGAACATCCTGGGGATCACAGGGTCCCCGGAAGCTAAGCAGCAAGGCCCGGCGGGCAGCGTCGGAGTGTTGTCCCCTCACCAACCTCCAGCCAGGGGCGGGGCAGCGACCTCCTTCCGCCAGCGAGGAAGCACCCGGAGCTCCGGGAATTTCCCGGGCCAGGGGCTCTGGCCTTTCCCGCCAACCACGCATAAAAGGGGCTCGCGGATCCCCGAGAGCCACAGAGCCAGGACAGCAGCCCCTCGCCACAAGCTCT